CGGTGGCAGGGCAGCCGGGCCATGGCCCCTGCCTGCGGCACGTCATGCTCCAGGAGGTTGCCGATCTTCAGGGCGGGCTGCAGTGCCCGGACGGCGTCCAGTTCCTGCAGCAGTTCTTGGTTGCAGTTTTCTGTGCTCAGCCTGGGCATGGAGGAATCAAGGAAAAGAGGAGAAGGTGTTAGATCTTGTGTGGAGGGATGTGCTGACCCAGCCGGGATGCCGGTGCTGCCCTGCCTGTGCCTCAGCATCCTCTCCCCAGCTCGGGAATGCCGGGCGTGGAAGGGGCCGTGGCAGGGCTCTCAGCCCAGGCTCTGCAGCGGGCAGGCGGGATGCCGGAGCTGCTGGCAGAGCTGCAGGACGCCGTGGGCTCCCAGCTCGTTGTCACTCAGGTGCAGGCAGGTGAGACGGGGCCCCTGCAGCAGGGATGCAGTTAGGGCTTGGCAGCAGGTGCCCAACAGCTGGCAGCTCCCGAGCCTGTGGGACGGAGAGAAACAGGGAAGGAGGGCTTTGACTTCTGCTGGGTGAGCTGGTCCAGTTGGGAAGGAGAATGCTCTGGCTAGGAAGGAGGGAGAAGTTTTCCACCCCGCAGCCCCTTTACCGCAGTGTCTGTAGTGGGCAGGCACATTTCTGCAGCCCCTCACACAGCAGCTCCACGCCGGCATCGCGCAGCCCCTCACTGAAGGACAAATCCAGCTCCTCCAGGCACGTGTTGGTGCTCAGCACAGCGGCGATGTCCTCGCAGCAGGCGCTGGTGATGCGGGAATACCGCAGCCTGATGGGAACCCCCGGGAAAGACCCTCAGGGCCTCCTGAGTGCCCTCAATGCCAGCCCACCATGGTGGCGGTCCCCACCCTGTGCCACAACTTTGGAGCTCCTTGCCCTTGAAGCGTGGGACAGAGGCACGACGCCACCCCAGGGGGACCCTTTGGGTTGCCTCCCCAGCTCTCAGGTCTGAGATGCCCGAGGGATGCTGGGGTTGCTCACCGCAGGATGCGCAGGCGGCAGCCCGGAGTCCTCAGCCCCTCACAGAGGAGGTGCACGCCACTGTCACCCAGCGAGCTGTCCGCCAGCTCCAGACGGGCCAGGCCAGGGTGCTCCGCCAGCAGCGCTGCCAGCTCTGCGCAGCAGCTCTCGGACAGCTGGCACCACTGCAGCCTGCAGGAGAGCATGGAGAATGGGGGGCTCAGCACAGCCCACCTGTCCACCAAACCCGAGGGACAACACCCACTTTCAGGTAAATAGGGCCTGGCCTCCCCCTGGCTGCTTGCCAGTGTCCCCAGGGAGCAGCAGGGCAGGACTAACTCCCTCCCCTCCCCTACCGCACTGTGGTTGGGACGCCCTCACCCACATCCCAGATCCCAGCCTTGACTGGGGCTCCAAGTGTGTCTCTCACCGGAGCACCTGCAGGGCACTGTCCCGGTGCCGCAGAGCCCGGCAGAGCAGGTGGATGGGGCACGGCAGCTCCTCCCGCCGCCACACAACGAGGGCACCAGGACGTCCTCCGGCTCCCGAGATTCCAGAGCTGCAGGGGAACAGAGCCGCGGGGCACGCACAGCCCTCAGCAGTGCTGGGACCTCCCGGCTCCGACACCGGCACACAACGCCCCCCACCCCGAGCAGAGCCTCCTGCGCACGGGAGGGCTCCTCCGGAGGGACCTCTGTGGCTTTGGAGGTGTGAAGGACCTCAAGCACTGCTGCTGGAGCGACCCGGGAAGATGTCACAGGTGAGTCACAGGCTGCACTTAGCATTCCAGCACCAGGGATCTCCATTTTCGAGAGATAAGGAGGACAGGAAGCCAGAGTGACAGCTGGGCACAGAAGCTCCATCACCCTCAATCCCACAGTGAGAAGAGGATGGAGGAGCCCATGTGTTCCTTATTCTTGCCAAGAATAAGTAAATCCTCTGTAGAGGATTTGGGGCAGAGAAAGAGAAATCTTTGCAGTTTTGGGTCATCAAAGTAAGGAGGAGCAGGACTTACCAAGGCACTGACGCATCCGGCTCTGCCTCAGGATCCTGCCATTGGAATGAGCATCCCTTGAGGGTGACACAGCCCAGTCCAGCCCAGTGCTGGATGCAGAAGGAAAGAGCCATCTGGTCATACAGGGTCAGCTTGGTCTCCTGCAAGTCCAGGTCAGTGAAATGACCCAATGCACTTTCTGTGAAGCTCTTCTCATTCATCTCGAACAAGAAGTGGAAAGTGTCCATCTCCGAAACCTTCAGTGCTTGGCCAGGGTGGGAGAGGCCTCTGTGCCTCCCCTGAAGCCACTCCAGCAGCTCTTCCCTGGCTCGTGGTGAAATTCTGCACCCAATGGTTTTGTCCATGTACTCTATGGATTTCTGGCTGACCAGACCAAAGAGGAATCTCACTGTTATGTTCAAATCCTTCCTGGACTTGTTGTAGCTTTCCAATAATTTATTTACATCCTTCTCAAGCTTCCCCAAACTGCTGTCCATTTCCCCATCATCCTCCAGAACGTAAAACATTGCTGCAAAAAACTCCTGGAGGTGCAGGTGGGTGAAGGCATAGACACTCTCATGGTCTTCTCCTTCCCTTGGGATCCTTTCATTGAGGAAGAAGGGGAGAAGACCTGGCTGGTCCAAGCCACAGTCCTTGATTTCCTTCTCCTCAAAGAGGACCTTGTGCTTCCAGATACCCTCAGCAGCCAAGGAGCAGAGGTGGAGTAGGAACTGCTGGAGGACCTGTGGGTTGTCCCTGTCCCTGTGCTTCAGTAATTGGGAGAGGTAGAACATTATCATCCCTGTGGTGGTTTTGGAGCATTCAAGGAGGTTTTTCTTCCCACAAAGTTCTTGTTCAAGGACAGTGCAGGTGGTCCAGCTCATGGCAGGGATGACACACAAGCTGTAGAGGATTTCGTTGCCTTTGGCAAACCTGAAGGCCATGTCTGCTTTGTTGGGGTTCTCAAAATACCTGTGGAAATACTCCTTCCTCCTGGCTGCTGAAAATCCCAGTATCTCCATGTAATACTCACCCTTCAGGCACTGCCTCAGGCTTCCAAGAGCCACTGGCCTCATGGTGATGAGCAAAGAGGCTTTGGGGAGCAGAGTCTTCTTCAACAAGCTCATCAGGGTGAGCTCCAGTGGCTTCACCTCCCTGGGGTCAGAGCTCAGCTCAGCTTTGGGCTGAACCAAGGAAAACCCCAGGGCCTCAAAGCCATCAAAAATGAACAGGATCTTCTTCTGGTCATCCAGGATCTTCCCAGCTGGCACTTGCAGGCCAGGACAGCATTGTGAAACCAGGTCTGCCACGCTGGCTTCCATGGGAAGGTCTATGGCTTTGCAGTCAATGCAGAAAACAAAGTCAAACTGTGTGTGGAGTGCCCCTTCTCCCCATTCCACCATCACCTTCCTGACCATTGTTGTCTTCCCCATCCCTGGGGCTCCCACCAGCACCACGACCTGCGGGGTTTGCCCATCTCTGTCGGGTTCAAACAGCATGGTGGTGACAGTGGTGGTGGCACATCCCTGGCTGGTTCCCACAGCTCCATCCTTGGCTCTGTGCTTGCTCCGAGGCTCCCTGGTGATGGTCAGGGTGGTGAAATGGCTGTGGAAGGACGGGATCTCCCTGGGACAGGTGCCCAGCTCCCTGTCCTGGTGGGACTCCCGGACCATGTGCTCTCTGCTGTCCCGTCTGTGCCCTGTGCCAATGAGAAGCAGGGTCAGCCCCCAGCCCAGACAAATTCCCCACCTGCCCACCTGTGCTCCCAACACACCAGCAACCACTTATTTCACTGCTCAGTGCTTTCCTCAGTCTGGCTGGAGGGATACTGGAAAAAGGGGAAAGGATGTTTTAAGGCACATTGGGAGTTAAGGACTCCTTATGGACTCCTTATTTCCCTGCTCAAAGCCGGACATCACATTGTCCCTCCTGCTTGCAGGATGTCAAACAATTTTCTCTAAAGGAAACAGTCTCAAGTTGTGCCAGGGGAGATTTAGACTGAATATTGGGGAAAATTCCTTCACTGAAAGGGTTGTCCAGTCCTGGCACAGCTGCCCAGGGCAGTAGTGGAGTCCCCATCCCTGGAGGGATGTAAAAGCCAAGTGGATGTGGCACTAGGGGACATGGGATGGCGATGGCCTTGGGCAGTGCTGGGGAATGCCTGGTCTTGATAATCTCAGAGGGCTTTCCCAACCTGAACAATTCCATGATTCTATGTTCCTTCCCGAGGATGCTGCTGCCACCAACATTCCCCTGTGGGTTTTACAGGGGAGGGTTCCCCAGGAGCCAGGGCTGTCCTTATCCCTGCTAACTCCTCCTGGGAGGTGCTGTGAGCTGAGAGGGAGGGGGAAAATCCAGAAGCACCGTTTCTAAAGGTTTCCCACTCCCTCTGACCTTGAAAAAGCCATTTTCACCTTGCTGTGTCTCAGCCAGGGTTGCTGCTTGCTATGCCAGCGCTGCCTTAGGGGGGATGTGACTCTGCCACGGGGAGACAGGGGAAGTTTATTGTTTTTACAGCTTTTTCCCTCCTTCCTACCTCAGTTAAAAAAAGAAAAAGTAAGTTTATATTCAGAATTTAAATATAATGTGAATTCCGGTCCGAGGCGTGTGAGAGCGTCACGTGGGGCTGTTTATCTCCCAAGGCAGAGGCAGAGTGTGTGAACACAAGGAAACCACTACCAGAACCCCTGGTCTCAGCTCATCTAGGGGACAAAACCCAGCAATTCCCACTTGCAGGAGGCTGCCTCCCTCCTCCTGCCACCTTGAGGATATTCCTGTCTGACAGAGAAGTAGCAAAGGGATTTTGCTAGGGAAGCGGCAGTTTGGGGGTGTCACCTATGTTAAACTGTGGATTTCCACCAGTTTTGCAGGAGTTCAGCCCCTCTGCTGCTGTCAGTAGATCAGCAGATTTGGGAGGCATTAGGAAAGGGAAGCAGCTGTTTGGAGCCCTGGAAAGGTCCTGGCTGTGCCTGGCACAAGTCTCTGAAAGAGCAGGGAATGCTGGCACTGCCGGGTGCAGGAGCAGACAGGGAACAGAGGGAGCATCAGCATCAGCCACAGCTAATCCTGTCCGTGCCAGCCTGTCTGAGCCAAGCTGGCTCTGGAGCCAAGGACTATGGAAGGAATAACCTTGCTCATCCCTGCCCTGAGGGAGTGTGGGTAGCTGCATCCCAAAGCAGCCTTTGGAAGCACAGCCTGTCCTGGGAGATTTGGGTTCTTGCATCCAGCCCCTCATTCAGCAGCTCTCTTCAAACATAGGCAGGATTTTAATTTGAAGTAAGATTTAAGCAACCTGAGTATTTTTTAGACATGACACGCACCTGGCTGGGCACTGGTGGGTGGTTGGTGGGTCCCAAGTAACTGATGGAGGCAGATGGAGAAGTAGCACACAGCCTGACTTGCTCTGAAATAAGGGTTGAAAGAGCTCCAGACAATGCCAGAACCTGAGGTTTCGGATACAATCAGGAAGTGACACAGGGATGGGAATTTGAGCCCTGTACCTGGTTAGAGGGGTGAGGCTGTAACAGAGAGGGCTCTTTGCTTTTAGCTGGTGAGGATGAGGAGGACGTGGCTGTGTCTGGCAGTGCCTGGCTGGCTGACAGCACTCTGCAGTGGGACCGGGCTGCGTGCCCGGTTCTGGTCTGGGAAGAGGTGTCAAACCCCAGTCTGCTGGGACAAGGAGCACTCCGGGGAGAAGGGAAGCAGAGCTGGCACAGAACTACCTCAAGGTGCAGCATTTCAGTGTCCTCCCTGCAGTGTGCAGAGCTTCTCCTTGGCAAGTCAGTTTGACATTCCTTAACTCACTGCCAGGTATCATCTCAGTTGGAAATCCCTTATTATGGTGGGGGAAGATTTACACTCCTTTTTCCTGTGATTTACACAGAGGCATCCCAATTTATCAGGCTGGCCTGCTCCCAGCTATTTTTTCCCAGTGTGTGCCCTATACTTGGTTGCTGTGTTTCATGTAATTGCTGCAAATCCAGGCAGGATTTGGAGGAGAAACAAATGGAGCAGCAGAGGGGTCAGTGCCGCAGGGACAGCCCTGAACTGCTGAGCCAGCTCAGCCCCAAATGACAGAGGATGTAGAGATGCAGCTGGGCTGCCTTTACCATCCTGCAACCCCCCCCTTGGTATCCCGCCCCTCCAGATCCCAGCCCTTCCCTCTGGATTGGAGCGCCCTCTCCCCCCCTCCCTGCTCTCCATCTTCATGCAGTCTGCAGAGGTGCATTGTGGGAAACTCCCAAGTTTTCCCCCCCACCTCTGCCTGCCTCCCTCCCTCCTCTCTGCGCAAGAGCCAGCTCCCAAGGTGTGACTCGTCCGGACGGAGGACAGAGGTAAGGGATGCTGCTGGGATGGGGGGCCGGGGCTGGAAGGGCCGGAGCTCCCGACTCCGGGACGTGCGGATGTCCCGCACATGGTGACAAAGCGAAATGGAGACATGGAGCTACCTGCTCAAGGTGAGTGTCCACCTCCCCCACCCGCCTGGGATGGCGGCCGGGGGCTGCCATGCCGGCTGCCTCTGGAGCCAGCACCCCACAGCTTTCCCCGTGGAAAAGAGGCAAAAAGTGCTTTTTTGACCCCAAACAAGGAACAGGGTGAGGATGGCCGGCCCCTTCCCGTCGCAGCTGCCGTGTTTCGCTCCCTGAAGGTCAGGCAGCCACAGAGGGTGTTTGTGCAGACGCACGGGTGTCTCCTGCCCGCGGCTTCCTGCCGCCCGCACGTACCTGCAGCCTCCGCCGCCTCCGCGGGCTGTGCCGTCCGGCCCGAGCCGAGCCTTCCGCCCGATCCCAGCCGGGCCAGCAAGGGCAGGACAGGCCCTGGGTGCCGCAGCAGCGCTCCGGAGGCAGGAGGGCGCCGGGCACGGGGAAGAGGAGCCGGCCATGTGCCGGAAACAGGGCTGCTGGGAGGGAGGAGGGGAAGCAGCATCCCGGGCTGAGCCCCTCCAGCCTTGGCAGGGGATCTGGTGCACCTCCCTGAAGAGGTTTTGAGCAGTTTTCCAGCTGCTTTCCCCCTCCCGTCTGCATGGACAGTGGGATTTGTTTGCCTTTTGGTCTGCATGGGTGGATTTAATGACTTTGTTTCATTCTGTCAGTCCCGAGGCAGGAGGGAAGCAGGAAGAGCCGGCAGCTTGGTTCAGCCTTCACCTTTTCCGAGGAAAGGGGGTTGTTTTGTTGGGCAGGGAGAATTTGATATCAATTTGTATCCTTTGATTTCACCCTGGGCTTGTGCTGGAGAGGAGCTCACAAAGGGAAATCTGCCCCAAAAAACCCAAAAAGGGAGAAAGATATCAGAGGCAGTAGTGCCTATTTTAAGGGAGAATATTGCACCGAAGGAGAGGGAGAGGGGTGAATACCAAACCAGGCCTCCTGAGTCACGGTGGGTGCTTCCAGGGAGGGAATGCTTTGGGAACATCTTAGGCTTTTCAGTCTGATGTCCCTGCTCTCTGCACATCATCCATGTGCGTCCCTGCGATGTGTGCTTGCAGGAACCTGTTGATTTGCTCCTGTTTACTTCTATGTCCCTCTGGTGGCTTCTGGGGAGGTGCAAAGGGGGAAAGAAGAGGATTTTAAAAATTGAATCGAGGTCAGGCTGGCAGAACTTGGGCATTGGGACAAGAAGAGGAAGCCTCGCCGCCGCAGCCCCGTTTTCCTGGGTGGGGCTTGGGCAGGATGCTGTCAGGAGAGGGAGGATGGACTATGCTGGATTAAGCTCCCTGCTCCATCTCAGGACTGACCTCCAAAAGTCTGACCTTCAGAAGTTTGACCTTCAGTGTTTTCCATCTGTCCTTTCTCAGCCGTGGTGCCCAACACCAACATCTAACCCTGTGATATTGTGGTAGGGTGGGGGGAAAAAAATCCCAATTCTCCCCTAAAAGTGCATTTTCATCCCGCTGTATCTGTGCCCTCCCCTGGCAGGCTGCTGGGATGTGGGGCTGGAGAACACCCTGGCACATTGTCCCCATCCTGGATCAGGTGTCGGGGCTGGCAGAGGGCGGAGGGAGGGATGGAGCTCCCTGAGCAGGGATTTCCATGCTGGAGGAGCTTTAGCCATCCTTCTCCAGATGCTTTCCAGCTTTCTTCCAGGAAGGAGAGTGCCCTGGTGTTGCTGCACAAGGTAAGGGATGGGTTTTATTCAGAGAGTGTGGGGAGCCTCCCTGGAAGGTCACTGCCTCATGTAGAATTGGCCCCTTGTCTGCCTGCAGTGGCTTCTTAGATTTCAGCTGCAGAGCAACAGTTTTCAGGCTGATGCCTGCAGATCCAGGGACTGCCAGATTCCAGACCCAGCTCTGCATGTGAGGAATTGCCTCCAGAATCTTTTTGCTGGCCCCAGATGAGCCACAAAACGGGTGATGCCACATCAGACAGAAGGGATGGATTTAGGATGCCCATAAACTGGGGAGAGATGTTGAATTTGCTGCTGCTTCCTGCAGTGGTTGGGGCTTTTTCACTGTGTCACATATATCACTCATCCTTTTTTGCTTGTGGATATTGAGTTTGGGATACAGGACTGGGAGGAAGATGCCTTAAAAGCAAGTTCTGCCAAAAAGGGAATCAACCTCCTAAAGTTGGGACTGGCTCGTGGATGCTTGGGGAGCAGCACCCCCAATTTGGAAGCATCTGCCCTCTTCCCAAAGGCTTTTCCCAAGTGCTGGCAGGCCTAAGCTAAGGAGCAGGGCTTTGTGGTAGGAAGGAGTGAGTGTTCACCATTTTCCAAGAGGCCAGGAATGTTTGCTGACCCTGTCACGTTATCCCTGAGCTGGCACCACAGACCCAGAGCTGAGCAGAGAACCAAGACAAGCCCCATAGTCCCAGCCAGGGTGTTGCTGGAATTGAATTTTTGGCTCTGGGAGGGCTGGAAAAACATTATAAAGAAATGAACTGAATGTGTTTGCAAAGTCAAAACATGAGGAGCTGCCCAGTATAGGGTTCAGGATGTACCCAGATCCCTGTGAGGAGTCACACTCAGGGGTTAAGGATTCCTGTTGCTGCAGTGTCTCACAAAGTCTTCCCCATTATTGCTCCAATGCTTCAGTCCAGTGTCCTGACAAATAGCTGCCGTAGGAAAAAAGTCATCCTGGCTGAGAAACCTTTCCTTTGTGCCCTGAATTTCTGTCTTGAGGAGAGGGATGCTCAGCCCTGCCAGGGAGAGGCTCAAGATCTAACACCTCATGATTTTTGAAGGATAAAAGCTACAATTTTGCTCTGCTACAAAAAAAAAAATGGAGCTATACAGGAAAAGAGAATTTGATTTTGTGTCTGAGGGGGATTCAAACCCAAGACTAAAGCAGGGTTAAGCACAGCAAATTGAAGTGCTCTGAACTCTGTTTTAGGGGCTTGGGGACTGTGTTGGGACCCTGAGGAGCCAGGCTTTGCAACAGGGTATTTCCAACCCAGCCTCAGCAAAGTATTTCCAGATTCCGTCGAATTCTAGAAATTATTTTGCTATAAGGTGTGTCTGAGAGTGCAGCTGTATGGGGGAGGCTTGTGGCACTTGAGGGGCCTTCCCAGATGTGACTTCTCTTGTGGGCAGCAGGCCAGGGCCATGCCAGGTGTGACTCAGTGCCCACCCCTACGGAGTCAGTCGGAACACGTGGCTGCAGACAAAATTTTCTCTCTCCCACGGCTGCTTGGCAGTGCCTGGTTTTTGCTGTGCACGTGGCTGTGTACAGACAGGGTGTCTTACTAGGGTAGGTTGGAGCTGTGTTTGGGGTTAAACTCCCCCAAAAGAACACAAGTTGAGCCCCTGGCAGGAGCTGTGGTGTGTCTGCAATGCCACCTTCATGTCTCAGAGAATAAAATGTCTGCCACGTCCATCCCAGGAGCTCTTTGGGGACAGGATGTGTGTGGTTTGCAGAGGTGACGCTCAGCTCAGAGCTTGTCATCTGCAAAGGTTGTGGTGCAGATAAAAACCATATATGTCCTGTTCCTGGGCTCTTTCTGGTGGGGAGACTGAAGTGCTGTGTCACCTATGTGGGCAGCATGGCTGGGCATCCTCCAGAGAGGACGCTGGCAATGGTGTCACACCTCTGTGCAGCTGGTGGCCCAGGGTCTGCATCCCAGACCCTTTCCCTTTGCAAATGGAGGGCAAAGCCACTTTTGCTGGGCTACAGGAACTCGTCCTGTTCCCACACCTCAGCTTGGTGCCAGGTACAACCCAATCTCTGAGTGTGGATGCATTGCCCAGCCTGGAGAGAGGGGACGTGGCTTGGTGGCACTGGGAATGAGAAGGGAGATCCTGGCCACGCTCTGGGGTGGTGGGTGCAGATTTTGGGCACTGCTAGCACCAGCTGGACCAGTGAGGAGCATGCTGGGGCTCAGAGCAGCTGCAGGAATTGCCACAGCCGTGGAGCAGAGGCTTGGCTGGCAGATCTCCCCCCGTGACAGTGATTTGAGGCTGCTGCCACTGCTAAAATACTTCCAGCATCTGACACTCTCCACAACAAGATTCAAAGAGATTGTTTGAGAGGGAAATGTTTAATCCAGGGACGGGGGGAGGGATGTGGGGAGTAACAAACAACAGATTGGGAAAAGGATTCATAAATATCTCATCAGAATGAAGTGGGTCACCAGTGTTTGCTGGGACCTGGTGCTGCTGTCTCTGAGGGTTGTATTTGGAAGGGCTGGGAAGCACAGCAGGCTCCTGTACAGTCTGTCCCTGGCTGTGCAGCACTGAGGCCATTTAGAAGTGTCTGTGACAAGTGACTCTGCTGGTGTGAGGTTTGCATTGCGTCGTATCACGTTTGCCATGCGTTGCGTCAGGAGCTGGGGGCTGAAATAGCCTGGAAGGGAGCTAAAATCCTCCTTGGGGAGCTGCTCACGGCAGCTGAGAGAACACAAGCTCCTTATGTAAAGCTGCTTTAATATTTATGGTAATATCAGAGGCAGTGCATTACCTCATCCATCTTCGTTGCACTTCTTGGGCATGGGGAAAAGCTTAGTCACTACTCTGCCGTCCTTCTCCTGGGTGCTTGCTTGGCATCTCCCTGCCTTTATCACGTTTGCTCCCCCAGCAGCTCAGAAAAAAAGGAGAAATGCTGGTTTTCCCCATTGGAAATGGGGAGTTGAAGCACCAGGAATGCTGCTCAAATGCAGAAGGGGACTGGGCACAAATCTTTCCAGCCCTGACAGATCACTCCACATGTGGCAGTGGGGACGGACCCCTGGGGACACTTCCTAAAGGACAGAGTGGTCCAAGCTGCATTTCTTAGTGGTTAGATGAGAAGGTGGAGGAGAGTGGGATGGTGAGAGTGCTGGGAAAGGAGCTCCCTCTGCTGTGCCAGAGCCACCTTTGGTGTCAGCTGCTGTTTCCTTAGGGATAGCAAGAGTCTGTCTGTCCTGTGCACAGGGGGATGAGTGCCTTTCTTCCAGACAGGCAGGAATGACAAAGAAAGGAAGAGGATATTAGGGGATGAAGGGGAGGATTTAAAGATAAGGTGTTTTCTGCCATCTCTGTCTCTCTCTGCACAGCACTGCTCCAGGTCAGTATCCATTTCCAAGATGGATGTTTCCAACTGGAGGACACCTGGAGTGTAGGGATGGACCTTTGTTGCAGGATAAATCCCGATACATAACCCCACTGTGTTGTTAAATCCTTCCTTGCTGCCAGTCTCAGCATGGCAGTCAAGGACCTGATGGAAATGCTCTGCTTTCGTAGCAGAGGGAAAAATTCTATGGATGAGCTTCCCACTGCACCCCAGACCCACACCGTGGAGCAGCTCCTCAGCCTTGCAAAGTGACTGCCTTTTCCTTCCAAATTGAAGCAGTAGGGGAGGATTTGGAGATGGGATGGGGCTGCTCCCTGCAGAGGGAAGGGGCCATCCTGATGGAGCTGTGCTGTGGCACAGCTTAGCAATGACTCATCTGCTGCGTTCCGTGCAGGATTGATGCAGCTTTCATCTGTGCACGCAGGAGACAGATGAATAGATGTGTTTGGTGATTTTCTGGGATTTGAGGCAGGAAAAGTGCCCTTCAGGGAGCCAAGGGAAGCTGTTCCTGTTGCTCTGGCAGAGAGCAGCTTGTTGCACTGGGTGAGTCCGATTGCACTGACCTTGAGAGCATCCCAGGGGAGCTGTGGCGTTTGTGTGCCAATCTTTGCAGCAGCAGCAATTTGGAAGGCTTTCCTTTTCCTTTTTTTTCCATTATCATCCCTGGTTTTATTATGCCAGCTCCCACTTCCCAGCCTGGGAAAGAGCTGGTTAGCTGCTGGCAATGAGAACCTTCCTGAAAGGGCACTGATTGTTAAACAGAAATAGCATGGAGCAGGGAAATGGGAGGGAATGAAACCTGTCTCCTACAAAATCTTATTCCCAAATGCTGCTGCCTGTGTAGGAGGTAGAGAGGGAGCTGGAAGGGGGGAGGAATGGGTAGACAGGCAGAGACAGCAGCTGACAAGAGAGAATGGAGGAATAAAAAGATGTGAGGAGCTATAAAGAAGAAAGCAAAGGTAGGAAAATGTGTCATTAGAGAAAAACTTGGTTTTTCTAATGGCATGAGGGAAGAGGAGGAGACAAAGGAGTGGGGGGGAACCCTCTTATGCAGGCTTAGTTTTTGGAAATGAGGAAAGCACCTCTTTCTTCAGCCTGGGGGAGACAGCAGTGCTTAAAGATGAGCCCATGATCATGCCCTTGGAAGTACAGGATGGAGAGGAGAAATGATTCCCAAGGTAGGGAGCTAAGAGCCAGAAAAGAGGGTTAAGTACTGGGATGGAAGAGGATATGCTGCTAAGGGTACACAGGAACCAGAGGAGGAGCCAGGCCAGAGGGTCTGGAGAGGTGCTGGGTGATCTTGTGGCTACTTGCAGTGATGGAAAACCACAGACAAAAGCCCTTTTATGCGGGCACTTAAGAACTGCCGAATTGATTTTTTGCTTAGTTTGGTTTCTACGTCTTTTAAAACCTTTTCTAAGCTGCATGAGGGGTTTGTGTTGCTTTTAGTGGAAATGCACTTAGAATCAGGAAATTCTGTTTGTGGCAATGCAGGGCATGGTGGCAGGACAAAGCTCCATGGCCCAGCATGGGCTCCAAGCAAAACCAGCTCTCCTGCCCCCAGGAATCTGGATCAGTGAGGGGTGTGGATAAACACTGAGGTGCCTGGGCTGTGCTGGGTCTCCATTTCTCAGCAGAAAGGTGAGTTCCTCCTCTCTGATTTACCTCACTATCTCCATAGGCTGCACATTACTTTCCTGGGGAAAGAGCAGATGTTTAATGCTTGGTCTATGTGCTGTAACCACACAAATACCAGAGTGTGTGAGTGGCCCAGTTAACTGATATCAAAGCGACAAGGAAGGTAAATTAATATTTATGCCATGATTAATCTGGTTCTCCCTGCTTTAACTTCTGAGCCCACTTTAGTTGTGGCCTCCACTTACTATTTCTTTGTGTCTCATTGTACCAGATTGAAAAAGAAAAAGAATAAATGGGTCCCAAACCAGAGGAGCAGAGTCCTGGAAGTGACTGTGTGCAGCCTCAGCCCTGGATTTATGTAGGACTTGTGCTGACAGAGCGGTATGGATGCTCTCTGGAGGCATAGGAAAAGGCGAGGCAGGTGATATCTACAGAAATATTACAGAATGAGCACTGAGAGGAAAATATTCTTGCACTTGGCGAGGCCCTTGTTTCCCTCCCAAACCACAGTGAGGTCTGAAGCTGGGTGAGCATCCGGGGTGGTGTTTGTGTGGTACAGGATGCCCAAGTGTCTAATACACACTCAGCAAACGGTGAGAAAGGCACAGTCTGGGCTTTCCAAAAGGGTTTAGTATCCCAAACTAGGGAATGCAAGCACTGTCCAGCTGCAGTCAATGAGAAATATGGGGGTTTATGGTCACCAGGCCTAGTGCAGTGTGAAGAGCTGGACTGGAAGATCCTTGTGGATCCCAGCTTAGGATATTCTTTGAGACCTATGGAATTCCATGATTTTGGTGCTGCTGTTCCCTCAGTCTGCTCCAGCTGACTGGCACTGGAGCAGCTGGTGGCCACCAAGAAATGGCTTGCAAGGGAGAGCAGGAGAGGGAGGCGTTTCCATCTTATATTTAGGAGCCATAAGGTGTTGCTCAACTTTGGTCTAGTCCCAAACCTGTAATTTCTGTGGGATTTCCTCTATTCCTGCCTAAACAGAGATGAAAGCCCCACATCTGTCAGCCTCTTTTCCAGCAGAGTCAGCAGCACAGATCGTTGCTGCAGTCCTGGGACTTTGTTCCTGTCATTAGAGGAGTGATCTGCCCTCTGAGCTGCTGTGGAAGGAACCTTTGCTGGCTGAGGTTTTTGAGGAGCCTCTTCAGCTCTGGATCCAGACAATGAGCTCTGATTTCACTTAGCAGGCAGAAAGTTCCCGGCAGGCTCCTGGCAGCCCTGAAGGTCAGCAGGGAGCCGGCAGAGCCTCCTGGTTCCTCTTTATTTCCTGAGCTCGGGGCTGATGTGGTGCTGAACTGCCAGAGCCTGGTGGCAAAATGCCCAGTGCATTGTCCTCTCCTCCCATCACATGGAAGTGCAGCTACAGGAGCTCCATCCTCAACTCACCCTGCCCTGCCAGGTTTGTGGGGTGAGGTTGTTGCAGTAGTTTTACATCCCCTCAAAGCCCACTTTGTCCCTTTGCTGAATTCCTGTGGTGCAGCCATGCTGTTCACCACTTCCACCAGTTCCCTGGGGAAGATAGCCCCAGCTGATCACCAGTTTGGCTCCATGTTTGGCTCCATGGACAAGTCTAGCAACCCTGAAAGGAGATGACAAGAGTGAGATGTCTCTGTCACCAAGAGATCCAGCTCCGCAGTAAATCCGTGCAGTCAATCCTCTGTTTTGCACCAGCTGAGGATCTGGCACTTTGTTTTGCTGTTGTTCCACCAAAATGCTGCCAGGAATAATCCTTTTATCTCTGATGCCTGTGAAAATTGAAGAACTAATCCTGGTTTTCCTGCAGTACCCATCTGGAGGGAGAGTATCACACAAGATCACATATTAACCACTTCCTAAATGGACCTTGGGTTAGTGCTGTGAAAGGAAGGATGGAGGGTGAGACAGGCAGGGAGGATCTATCCATCTCCTTTCCCATGGAACAAAGTGTTCTCTCCTTACCCAGAAGGAAGTGAAAAGGTAAGCAAAGGCAAAGTAAGGTTTATTTGGTTGGATGGTTGGATGTGAGTTTGTCATTGCTGACAAATGGCCTGACACACACAGCCAGGATGGACTTGGACTGCAGATGCCCAGATGTGGCAACAACCACAGATGACAGTCAGTCCAACTTGTTTGATGTTCCTGTTCGATATTAGGAAAAAATCCTTCCCTGTGAGGGTGCCGAGGCCCTGGTACATATTGACCAGAGAAGCTGGGGCTGCCCCATCCCTGGAAGTGTCCAAGGCCAGGCTCTACAGGGCTTGGAGCCCTCTGATCCAGTGGAAGGTATCCCTACCCATGGCATGATCAAGGTGAGTTTTAAGGTCCTTTCCAACTCAGGCTATTCTCTGGTTCTGTGATTGTTACAAGCACAGAGCCTGTAGTAAATGCTTTGAATGGAATTCACAGTTCTGAAAGAAGGAGCCAACAGTTTTCCAGTCTTCCTTTCTGTTCTCCTCCATCACCTCCAGGCAGAGCAATGCTGGCTTGCTCTGCCCTGTCACTCACCTCTCCTTGCTCTGCTTCCCCCTCCAGGTGCTGTACCATGTCCAGGTAGGACACTGCCAGCATAACAAGCATCCCAAGACCACCGCTCCCAGGCCTTGAGCTCGGGGGGCTCCTCTGCTTCCCGCAGCAGCCAGACAAGGGAGAAGAGCTGGGATAGCCCCACGTATCCAGTCACTGCCCACAGCACCCCAGGATGGATTCCAAAGGCAACGTCCGAAGCGGAAACAAACCCGACGCCAAGGCCGCCAGCTCTGGGAAGCCGGAAAAACCCAACCCTGGGCCTGCCACGAATGCAGACAAGAAGGAGACCCCCAAAGAGCAGCCTGCTCCTGCCACGGCCACCAAGAAGGCGGGAGGTGACGCTGCCATCGCCAACAACCACAGCAACCTGAAACCCAGCCCCGCCGCCACGGAGACGCAGGAGGCCAGCGGCCAGTCCCCTGACTCTGACCACAAGGGAAACAGCTCCGAGGAGTCACCCGGCAGCTTCTTCGACAACATGAAGCCCTTGATCATCGTCGGAGGAGTGGCGGTGGCTGCGCTGGCTGTGATTGTGGGAGTGGCATTCCTAGCCCGGAAAAAATGAAGACCGAGACGGGGTGGGGATGAGAAACCCAGCCCAGCTGTACAGCTCCTTTTGAGACAAATGCATGCAGAGAAATTCTATACATAGCTATATATATATAGAGAGAGTGAGCTAGATAGGTCAACAACAAACACCAACTGCAACTCCAGGGTCTTGTTCAAGACAACTGTGCCAGTCTGACCCGCTGTGGGTAACTCCATACACTCAGTGTGTTCTTTCATGTAATATATCTTGGCTTATACCGCTGTGTATAGATTACAGCTTCTCCTGATCGGTGTAAATGACGGTGTCCCCTCCCCTCCCCTGCTGTCCTCCCTGGGAGACGCCCCCCCTTCCCCTTTGCAGTCCCGTTTTCAAGTCCAAAGTGTTCTACGTCCCATTCGGAGTCCCAGTTTGTGTTTTGGTTTCTGTTTGGTTCTGTTTTAACTTGGGCTGTGGTAAAGAAGATGGAAGGGGAGTGCTAAGGCCCGGCTCGCCTGTCTCGCTGGGCTGGAGGTGTTTTTCCAGCCCCCCTGGGACAAGGGAAGCGCAGGGGCAGTGGCAGGGAAGAGGCAACTCCCTGACCCAGCAGCCACTGGTGATCCCTAATCGGTGTCTGTGTATCTGGCACTCACCATTCCACCTTGGAACACCTGCCTGGGAAGTGCTCTGGAGGAACCAGGGCGGCTGCAGGGTAGCAGAGACCTGTGTGAGCCTGGGATGTCACAATCAGGTCACTCTTCTGGCTGAGCTGCCAGTGGGACAGTGACCAGAGGGGCTGTGCTGTGGCCCAGAGAAGTCCCATTGCAGCCTTCAGGATCCCCAGGCTCGCCAGGGTCACACGGGTGGTGTTTGGGATAGAGAGACTTTGTTTTGGATCTAGTATTTCCTAAAGTTAGGCTGGGCTTTGCAGGGTGCTGTGGCCTCAGTCTAAGCTCGAGGTTGGCTGGACTATTTGTGTTCATTTTTTTGGCCTTTGGATAAGGCCTTTCACTGGATTTTTTTCCCCCACTGAAGGCTGTGGTCTCAGCAGATGGGAAGACAGGAAAAGGGGGGAGACATGAGCTGGTGTTAGGGGCAGAGAGGACCTAGGACCCCATGAGAGTAACACTGACCTACCTGCTTTATACCAGGGAAACCCCTTTCAAAGGCACTGGAGTCTGTCCGGGGTGGATTTCTTACCTCCCTCTTGTGACAGTAGTAGCAGGAATTTGTAACTCGTCCACACTTTGGAAATGGAAACAAATTCCCAGCCCTTGGGAGCAACCTGATTTCATGGGTGAGTACCTTGGCTCTAAAGCCAGACCTTGTGAGGGGAGGAGAGAGGGTGTTTAGTGCTTTGGCCGATGCTCAGCACTAAACAGCAAGAGGTGAGGAGATCTGCCTCTGAAAACTTCCATTAGGCTTGTCTTGGCTGCTGAAAAACAGTGTTGTAAAAACCCCTTGCATTTTGGGTTTAAATTGGGTCAGAGATTAGATGAGGTCCAATGGGAGTTCAGCAGCAGCCACAGCCCATGGGCAGGGGCAGGAATGATGATTAGAAAGAGGCTGTGACACAGTGGGGTGAGTTCTGTTACAGAGCCCGTTGTGCACCTTTAACTGAGATGGATGGATGGATGAATTCAGGGGCTGCAGGGATAGAGGGAGGTGTGCATTCCTCAGGTGCTGCCTATGCAGTGTCTGCCTCTGGCACAGTCCCTGAATGGGACAGTGGAGGGATATAACCTGACTTGGCAATTCTTCTCTTGGCTCATGTCTGTCTTATTTACTTCCAGATCTGACCTGCTGAATGCACATGGGCTTGGAATGCATGGCTACTCCTATTGTGAGCTCAGAAAATATTCCCAAAGGTGTATGGCCTCTGGGAATATCAGACACTGTGTCCTGATGCAGTTACAGGGTGATGCCTCCACCTTTGCCAGCATAGAGACTGGAGCAGGTGTGTTGGGCTCACAGGAATTTTGGGAAGCAGGGTTACAGCTCCAGGTGAGATCCTGGTAGCCTAAAGCACTCTTGGCATGAGCTGTGGATGTGTCTCCCAGCAGCAGTATGTCACTTGCAGCCTGGAGAAGGGTTAGAAGCAGAAGGGTCCTCCTCCCTTCAGATTTCTGCAGCACAACTTTGCTGGGAAATTTTCACAGGGAGTTTTGCTTATGTTGCTCGGAAGGAAGGGAAATCACCCCCTTCTGCTCTGGTTCATGTTTTGCCAACTAGGGTAGTGATTTTCAGACAGTGACTTCTGTTTTCAAGAGATGTTTCTACCTTTCCTGTCCCCTCCCTCTCAGCTCTGCTCTAGGATTGTTTTTAGCAGTGTGTGACATTAGGCACAGCATCTATCTATTCTGCCCTGACCACAGATCAGAGCATAGATAGATCGGGGGAGGAAGGTGAAGCACCTGCTTCACTTGAGTCTCCAGTTTAATTTTCTAAAATGTTTTTATTTCCTTGTCTTCACCTTTGGCAACAGAAGAGGGGGAAAAACAGTTCTCAGCCAATGGTCTTAACCTTTTCTCCATCTCCAAGTCCTGCCTTTAGAGCACTTGGATGCAAGGCCACCAATTTCATCCAGAAACACCACAGAGGTGGTGATGGAGCTGTAGCTCCTCATCGGGGCACGTCACTCATTTGAGCCCTCCCTGCATGGCAAACCTGGTATGTCCTATCCGTAAGGGAATTTTGAACATGGTCTGTCCTGTCCCAAGGGATTTTCCACTTTCTGTGGTCACTTAACAGTCTGCTGTTCAGGTTCAGCACCTGGAACCCACCTCTTTGGCAGTTTGGTTTGGAAAACACCTGTCTGTGTCTGTGTGTGTGTGTGTGCCTTGAAGCACATCCTGCGTGTGTGTGTGTCTACAAACCTTTGTGTTGTATTGCTGCAGTCTGGGAGGGGGAGAGAATCCAAGCTGGAGATGCCCCTTCATTCGTTCCCTGCATTCACACCAAGTGTCTGTGATGTCTTCTGTGCCATTCCCACCACGCCATGCGTGAATTCCTGAATTCCTTTCTGGTCCTGGTTTCTCCTCAGTGCAAGGCTGATGAAGTGCTGAGTGTGTGGTGTGCTCGGAGCCCCAAGCCCCTGCTCCCTCCCTGGGTAGTCGTGTGGGCTCTTTGCTTTAAAATGAGGCACTTTTAGACTATCCTGGACTGTGCTGTAGCGCTTTTCCAAGTGTGGGTCTAGTGTTGAGCCGGGCAGATCCAGCGTAGACGCCACAGCGCCGCAGCCCTGACTTGCAAACACCTCCTGTCCTGCCTTACTGTGCCAGGCTGTGCAGTGCTTTTGTTCTGAGCCAAAAAATGTCCAGCGAGCACCAGGCTGAGGGAGCAAATCCCCCTCTCTCAGCCCCAAATCTGTCGAAGCAGAAGGCTTAAATGACTGACCTCGCTGTGCTAAATAAATAGTTGTCTTTTCTCGTACTGAGCACACGCCGTTATTTGCTTGATGTCCTTCTTTGTGTGGTTTTTGTGGTATGAAGTCCTTCCAGTGACATCTCCGTGGGGAGAGTGAATTAACACTTAAAACCAATCAGAGTCTGTGCTTGGGGTTTGAAGAGATCTAGATTGCTAGTTTACTCTTTTGATCAAGTCGATAAATTAAATATTGGCAAAATTGGTTTCGGACCTTTCCGCTTATCACCAAAACTCTCGATTGAATCACTGCACCCAATCTCAAACTCCTTTTAGGGAACCATAAATTTTAGTTGAATATAAAGATGTCATTTTGCTGTCTTGGACAACTCAGTAGAAGGTTTTTGCTGCTTCTATTTTAAGAGAGATGAAATGGATTATGCTTCTGCTTCCTCTTCCTACTGGTTTAATACCCTGTAGATAAGTCCTGTTATTCCTAACAGTGCTGCAGCAGGATGAAAACAAATCTGGCAGCCAGGGGATAATGCAGCAGCATTTTTGGGAGGGTAAGAACACATTTCTGCAGGTGTGGTTTGCCTGGGACTCACAGCGCTCAACAGTCACTTGCCCTGAAGCATTTCTTAGTTCCCTCGGGCTGGGTGATAAATTAAACATCCATTTGTGTCTCTGATGGACTAAAGTTTGAAGGTTGATCCATAGAATACTGAAAACAAGGGGAATTTTTCCATTGGCATCACCATGCTCTGGCCTTTGAGTTCTTGTTGGCACCAGGGATATGATCACAGGTCATCATAAAATCATCTCAATTACACATTTATTTTTAAATTGACACAAACGTTCCTTAGACTGAGCGTAAGGGAAGTCTCTTCTCTGAGGCAGCCCTGCTTATACTGGCATCAAGATTTGTGTATGAACAACAGCAGTGCAACCAAAAACCCCTGGAGCTGGTGAGAGATGATTTATGCCTTAAAATATTTCCTACTTTTCCTGGAAATGCTACTGGGGTTTAGAATTCAGCAGCCTTCTAACTATTCTTAGAATTGGTTGAAAATAACAGTGCTGAAGATTGGAGAGAAAAATGATTCTTCGAGAAGTAAGCCAAAAAAGGAAGGCAATGAAAAAATATGTTTGAAAGGTGAAATTCTTGGAATTTCAATCAGCTCCATGGAAAGCTTCAAGTCAGTGAAGATTCTGAGAGGGTGCAAGGAACAGAGCAGAGAAGTGGAGAGAAAAAGCACTATTTAATTTTCTTAGCTTTGGTAAGGACATGCTAACTTTTATACCCTCTTTCCCCTTTTTTTTTCCTCAGAAAAGGGCAAAAATGACAAGCTCTGGTGCCATGCAAATGAACCTCTGCTAATTGCCTTTTCCAGATGAATCCCTGCTGGCTCTGTGCAATGTTAAAGGGTTAGAAAAATACCTGAAGTTTTCTACAACCAATATTGCATGATTAAGGGGAATTGCCAGGACTTTAGGAGGGGCTGTGCTCTCTTTCCAAGTGCTTTGCTATGACAAGGACTGCAAATACATCACATCATGTTCATGAGCTGGCTGCAGTTCTGCTGCACAGGTTGGGCACTTCCCACCACGAAGAGGAATAATTTGCTTTGATCTGGAGCATAACAGTCCTGTATTCCAGTAAATTCTCACTGCAGGATGTTGGAATTGGGAATATTTCCTGCTATTTACACTGGAGGTATTTGGTCCTTTACTCTTTTGGGGAGAAATCTGCAGATGCTGAGGATCTGTTATGGGTGGCACTCGACTGACAGTCCCAAAAAGCCTTGGAGCCTGCACCCCCATCCAGCAACCCTCGGGGGGTTTAATCCACTGAATAAAGTGGGTTTATGATGACTTTTTCCTCTTCTTTTTGAGACCATGAGTCCAGCCCTGTAACCTGCTTTCCTTTCAAATTCCATACTTCCTGGGATGTCTGTTCACACCACATCTTCAGCTGCTACAAACTACAGGGTTCCATTGGTTTCTGATCTGATTCATTGCTCGTTCTTTCCTCCTTTTTTTGGCCACTGCATTGTATTCCCTTTCCTTTCCCTACTTTCTTCCTGGGCAGCTCTGCAGATGTGGCCTCTCCATAGCTGGGGCAGATTTTGGGTTGGATAAGGCAGGTTTTGGGTCCTCCCCCCAAAATACAGACAGCACTGGGCCCCCAGACTGTGTGTCACAGCAGGGAATATGTGAAGCTTTGCTCTGCCCTCACATTTGAGGGTCTAAGTCTGCAAGAGGCTGAGTGCCCATCTGCCACAGGATTTGCCATGGATGACAAATCCCCAGGAAGGTCCTGTTCTTGTCCTCCCCTGTCAGTGAGGTGTTCTGGCTGCTTGAGAGAGGCTGACATGGTGTGAGCACACACTGTGCTTGGCTGCAGCCAGGGCTCCCTCAGCCCTCTGGAACACCAAAAACAAGAGGGAAAAGAGAAGTTTTGAAGTCGAGGACATGTACTTCTACTGGCCTGGAAGGATCAGCTGTTATGCCAGGGATGAGGGTGCAGGAAGTGCAAGGATTATCTCATCTGAATGAGCTGATCTGGTGTCATTGGGTGATTGAGAACTGTGGGACTTCTAGGCCTCTAAAATTCACATTTCATTCAATTGACCATAATAGGCCTCAGAATCCTGTGAGAGATCAGAGCCTTTGGCTTTCCAAATTCATGAGTTTGGATCTACCTTGTGTTACAGCTCTGCTCTCTCCTCTGGACAGTGTGTGCTTGGATATGCAGTACTCTGGGACTCGTGCCCTCTACTCTTTGATGCTCTTCAAATTAAATAGATTTTTTTTTCTGCTGAAAAGCATAACTTGGGTTAAATAGGCTTTGGACTGGCTGTTCCCATTTCTCTTTTGGTTGTTCCCAGCTTGCGATTCTCAAACAGTTCCATCACTTTTCCATTTCTCAGCCCCAGCAGAGCATCCCAAACATGAACATCCAGGTTCTTTCTGTGATGATGCTGCAGCACCAAAGCTCCCACCAGGACAAGAGGAATCTTTAACCACCTTTCCAACAGTCAAGTCCTGCATCGTATCCCTGGTTTTGCCATGGCAGCTTCAAGCAGCCAAGCTTCTGGGGCAAGCTGATGAGAACAAGGGTGCCACACAATTTTGTTTGGTTAAAAACCAACCAACCAACACAGGAATAATTTGGCTTTACTGAGTTTTGAGCAGCCCTTCATAACCCTGGTGCCTTTTCCCAGGACTGTTTCAACTGAAGCCTTTAAAAGTTGCAATTTCACTTTCCCAGGAAACCAACTCTCTTCCAGTCATAGGTGCAAGTTGGCTATAAGTTTGTGGAGGAGCTAAAATTGTAGGAAGGGAACTCGAAGGTCAGATTACAGGGGATTTTTATTTTGTTTTTGGTTTGTTTGGATTCTGTTACTTCTCCAGGGACCGATCCAAAGCCCTTGGAGGTGAGACTGAAATGCCTGCTGTTCCTCTGGAAGCCTCAGGCACCTTTTCAACGATGTCAGTGGGTTTTGAGTCAGCTCCTGAGTGTGCTTTCCAAATGATAGGAATTTTCCAAGTGACACCTTGATTTTTTCCCTGTACAACCAGACCTGCTTGTCACTTACACATCTTTACCTGTGTTCAACATACAGGTTTGGGTTTTTTTTTTTTGCTCTCAGAAATAATATGCTGCTAGACACATTTCCTGGAGGGAAATGGACACCTACCTACACACAAAGCTATTCAGCTAATTTATACCTTGTTGAATTTATAATCTTGTCTATGCTTCTATGGACACTTTGTATGGGCTGCAGCTCAAATCCTAAAATAGTCAAGAATTTTTTCCTTTCCCATATAGTATTCTATTTACTTTGACTTTGAAAACAAAAAAAGCGTATAAATGCAATAATGCAGGTAGACTAGAAATACTAGATTGAAAATTTAAAGTAGTTTAGCTTGTCCCATTGTGACTGACAGTGTTGTATGACACCCAACGCTGTACCCTGACATTTTCCAGGCTTTCTCCGTAGCTGAATCTAGTATTAGCTTTGGAAACCCATTGTGTGAGTGGTGGGTGGATGGGTCGGAATCGTGTGCTCTCTACACAAGCTGTATGGCCACTCCATATGCTGTGAAACTGTAAATGATTCCCAAATACACCTGTAACTCTTACCAGGATTGTGAGAAATAAACTATATATAGATATATATACACACACATAGAGAGATTGTATAATTCCTCCCGTGAGCATCTTCGTGTACCTGGGGGTGCGAGTGGAACCTGCTGTGCTCTCTCTTGAGGTTGTCCCCAGAAAGCTGTGTCTGCCCCATCCCTGGATACATCCAAGGCCAGGGTAGATGGGGCTTGGAACAACCTGGGATAGTGGAAGGTGTCCCTGCCCACTGCAAGGGGTGGAACAAGGTGAGCTTTAAGTCCCCTTTCCAACCCAAACCATTCTATGATCCCTGGATTCTATGTCTGTGTTTCCTGAAGGCTCAATGTTTTCTAGGATTAGTGATCCCACTGAGAACTGTGAGAAAAGGCAGTTCCTGCTCCAAATAAACTCCAGCCTGCCCAGGGAAAAAGGCAAAGGATGATTATTGTTATTCACAGATAGGAATTAAATTGAGTTGTAGATTTACCCACAGACACATTTCTGATCCAAGAGATTCCCTATCCCACAGGCTGGTCTCCAGCCTTCACCCCCAGCTCTTTGCTGTGACTTTCTCCTGCCAAATTTCTCCTGCTGATTTTCTGTTTTTGTTTCTAAGATGGCCTGGGAACACCTGCCAAACAAACCATCCCCTGAGCGCTGGGTAATGTCTGTGGGGTCCCTGTGCATGGATTCCCTCCAGGCTCTCAGAGGGGAGGAGGCTTTTGGCAGCACATGTCACCACACAGGGTTGATGTTGTATTACACCAGCTCCAATCAGGGTCCCCACAGAAGCCTGCAGGCTTTTGGAAATTAATTTCTTAAGAACTGGGAAGAAAAATCCTGTAAATTCCACAGGGTCAGAAAAAAGGGTTCAGCTGCAAAAGTGTAATCATCTGAGGGTTTTGCTGCAGAGACACAGCTGGGGACAGGAATTTTCGTTTGTCTTGACAGGAGCAGGAGATCAAGTAAGTTCCTGTTTTCTCAGTGGGAATGCTGGAGCTGAGAGGCTGGGATGGATGGGGGCCTGACCCTCCCACTGGCCCCAGTCACACATTCCCAATGTGTGGAATTGCACATACCTGGGGCAGTGTAGGGAGGATGGGAGGAGCAGGGTGTGGGACAGCGCTGTCCTTTGTGTTTGTTTAAAAGCACTGGGGTCACAAGCAGGGAGTAAGGACACAAATGTGGTGCTCTGTGATATAACTGTTTAGGCTGCTGGAGTGGCACTAAGTCCTGAAGTACCCCATGCAACAGCGAAACTGAATGATGAATGAGATGCTTTTTTTCCCCCTTTTTAAAAATAATTTTCTGGTATCTAAGCTGGAGCAGTGAGGAATATCCAGATTAACCATCCTATGGATTCAGAACAGAGAGAAAAGCAGAGACAGATGATTGAAGAGACGGACAAGGTAGCATAGGCTGCATTTCCTTTAGGAAACCAGGCTAGAAATTAAGTCTTTTCAAATAAAAAAATAAAGCAAATAGCAGTATTGTGCTATCTTTATTTCATATCTTCCGTTTTATAACGGCAACACACCAGCAGCCAGCAAGAGATAAACCTACTAAATTCACACAAGGGATGACAGATGCAAACCCAGAAGTTGAACACTGAGGTTGACAAAAGCGGGGAAATAAGGAAACAATGACAACAAGCTGCCGATGGGACCCCCGGGACGCCCGATGCCTTCCAAAGGCCGCAGCGCCCCCTCAGCGCTTCCCGCGCTTTTCAGCGCCTCCCTCAGGATTGCGCGCGCTCTCCCCCGCCCCACCGCACACTGCGCACGCGCGGCAGCACGAGGCGCCGCCGCCGCTCCCCTCAGGCCCCGGCCCCGCCATGTCGGACCGGCTGGCCAAGCCCTCCTGCCTCATCGTCGCCAGCGCCGCCACCGCGGGTGAGACGCTCTTGTGGGGGAGGCCCCGCCGGTTCGCGGGGAGCCACCGCTCCCACCTCTTCGAGTATCCCGCGCTCCCCGTCCCTTCCTAGCGGTGGGGCGGTGCCGTGCGGGGGTTGTCCCCTGTGTGGCTGTGGCGGCGTGTGCCCGCCCCACAGGCCTGGCCGTGTCCCCTGTGTGTGTGTGTGTGTGTGTGTGTGTGTGTGTGTGTGTGTGTGTGTGTGTGTGTGTGTGTGTGTGTGTGTGTGTGTGTGTGTGTGTGTCACACCGCAGCCGAGCCGTGCGGCCCCACGTGTGCCCTCCCTGCACAGCTGTGCTGGTTTCCTATCCGCAGTGCAGGTGTGGCCTCCGTGTGCAGCTGTGCTGCGTGTGGCTTTCGTGGCTTTGAGGGGAAGGAGGGTCGGCTCAGGTCGGAAGTTATCAGGAGGAATCTTTGCCTGTGAAGGTGCTGAGGCCCTGGCACAGATTGCCCAGAGAAGCTGTGGCTGCCCCATCCCTGAAAGTGTTCAAGGCCAGTTTGGACAGGAGCTACCTGGGATAGTGGAAGATGTCCCTGCCCATGGGCTTTAAGGTCCCTCCCAACCCAACTCATTCCAGGATTCTGTTCCTCAGCACAAGCCTCACCTGTAATGAAGGCTGTATATTTCTGATGTCTTAAAATCATTAAATCATAACAAAATAATCATCTGAAATTATCTAGAGCTTTCAAACACCCAAGCTTGTGTACTTTGCTGAATAAAGTGTGGCCTGCATTAAACTATCACTGTTGTTTCCCTAATGTGTTGGAATCTTTTCCAGGTGTTTCAGCCCAGTCGTTCCTTCACTGCTTTACTCTGGCCAGCTCTGCCTTTAACCTTCAAGTGGCGACTCCTGGGGTGAGTGAAAATGGACAAATAACTGTGATTTCAGCCTGAAACCAATTGATCTCTCAGTTGTCAAGAGGTACTTGTACTATAAATATATTGAGAGGTCTTTAAGACATTAAGGGACCTCTTTAATTCTGTTTTTTAATACTGAAGTGACTGCGGCCTTTCTATAGCGTGGGTTTGGACTTCTATGTCCAGTATCTGTTCCCACAAAGAGTGGAAGGAAAGCTATTAGCACTATTTCAGTGGGAAAAATGGAAAATTTCAGTTTTTTGAGAGCTGAAAGCATCTCAAAATCCCACATGGATTCTTCAGGACACTTCAGGAAGTGTCATGGGTGCTTGTGCAGCGATCCTGACCATGGTATGTGAACCATGTTATTCCCAGGGGAAGCCCATTGATTTTGTGGATGTGAATGAAGGCAACACACGCTGGATCCAGGACTTCCGCATGAAATCCTACGCCAGCCCTGCCAAGCTGGAGTCCATTGATGGTAAGAGTGTCACCATAGGCCACTGTCACCTCCACTGTCAAGGAAACAGTGAAAGGCTCACTGTAGGGGGTTTCCCCTCCCTGCTTAGGACCAGGATTTTGGGGAAGAACGGCACAGGAAGGGTAGGAAAGTTGTGTTTCTAGAGAAAAGTCTGGCAGCTGGAGTTGTTGGTTTGCTTTTTATTTGAGAGGAAGTCCTGGCAACTGCTTTGCAATTTTGTTATATATCTTGAAATGGTCATTCTCTTTTAATATATATGCAATACATACATATGTCTGTGTTGTATGTAAAGACACGCTACACTGTTACTTGTTAAAAATAAATATTTTGCTGGAGTAGAGGCCAGCAGACAGAACAATTGTAAGTTTTTCCTGGGTCATCAGGGCTTATTAAAAATGTGTGTGCCTGATCCTAAGAAGGACCTTTTTGTCTCTTCTGTGTAGCTCTGTTAGTTTCTTTAAGTCATTTTTAACTGATTTATGTGTGTTTGTCCTTTTTTTTTTCCAAATATGTGGTGGGTTTATGGTCAGGCTTTTTGGTTTTTTTTTAACCTGTCCTACAATCAGTTGCTGCTTTCCTCCCCACCAGGGGCTCGGTACCACGCCCTGCTGATCCCAAACTGCCCCGGGGCTGTGACTGACCTGGCCAACAGCGGGTACCTGGCCAAGATCCTGCAGCACTTCAGCACTGAGAGCAGTAGGTGAACATCCTCGGGGGATTGGGTGGATGGAACAGGGCTCCTGTGCTGCCTCTGCAGAATGGCTGCCTTCCAGAGACTGCAGAGAGAAACTAATGGCAAAAGAGCATTCAGAACTGGGAAGGAAAAGGGTGTCTTCAAGGGGAGAAACAAGTGTCTTAATGGACAAAAAAAAGGAGAGGGAGACTTAGAAGAAAAAAGTATCCAAAATTGTCTCTAAAAGGAAAAAGGGAGTCTTAAAAGGAAAGAAAAGTGTCCTAAGATGTCTTAAATAGGAAAAAGGGAGCCTTGGAAAGGAAAAAGAGGTCTTAAAGTATCAAGCTTTCCAGAGCTTGTCTCAAAAGAAGGATTTGCTGCCTTACAGTGGTACAGAAACAGCTCTGTCCAAATCAGCAACATTCAAGGCTCAGAGCCAAGTGTGGAATGTCCTAGGATTATCCTTAAGGCTGCAGTTAACCAAGACTTGGGGTGTGCTCCACATTTGAGCATTTGTGGATCCGTCTCTGGGCCTGGAGTTAAAAGCTGCAATTCTTGTTCTCCCTCTTACTGTAATAATAATAAAATTATTGCAGTAATTCTTATTATGGACAGTAATTGGTACTGCAGTGTGCAGGAAAACCCCTCCAACCTAAAAGAACATTATCAGTGCAGTATAACTTCACTGCAGGAGGGCAGCATGAGGCTCACCACACTCACCTGTGTTTTAAATATTTGGAGATGTTCACAAATGTGCTTTAATTCTTCTCTAGAACCTATCTGTGCTGTGGGACAGGGAGTAGCAGCTTTGTGTTGTGCCACCAATGAGGATAAATCCTGGGTTTTCCAGGGATACAGCATGACAGGGGTAAGTCAAGCTTTTACCTGATTTTTGCTGTTTGGGGGCTTTTTTTGCTGTGTGATTTCTGGTGGTTTTGGTCTTACCCAGGAACTTTGTATAAATACAAATTATCAGCTGGGTACTCTTGGCTTTTGCAAGATGTGCAGTGTTGTCTTTGACAAGGGGCCCAGCACTGGATGCATGAAGAGTTTGTCCCACTTATGTGGCATGTGGGGAATGCTTTCCCTCTGATAGTTCAATAAACTTTAAACTGAAGCAAAAAAAAAAAAATCCTG